CTATCTGCCGTCCTGATGTCAATGGGGAGCTCATTCCACCATCCTGGAGCCAGGACAGCAAACCCACGTGTTTTCGCCGATGGGAACTTGGGTCCCCCTCGCAGCGAGGGTGCAGCGAGTCGTTTGGCTGATGCAGAGCGTAGTGCACGCGCTGGGGTGTACGGTTTAACCATGTCCTGGATGTACGAAGGGCCAGATCCATTCGCAGCATGGTAAGCAAGTACCAGTGTCTTGAAGAGGATTCTAGCAGTTACCGGAAGCCAGTGAAGGGAGCGGAGGAGCGGAGTGGTGTGGGAAAATTTAGGAAGGTTGAAGACCTGACGAGCCGCTGCATTCTGGATGAGCTGCAGAGGTCGGATGGCACATGCAGGTAGACCAGCCAGGAGGGAGTTGCAGTAGTCTAGGCGTGAGATGACGAGAGCCTGGACCAGAACCTGAGTCGCTTTCTGTGTCAGCTGGGGACGTATCTTCCTGATGTTGTAAAGCGTGTATCTGCAGCAACGGGTTGTAGCAGCGATGTTTGCAGTGAAGGACAGGTTGTTATCTAGGGTCACACCCAGATTCCTTGCAGTCTGAGTCGGGGAAACAACTGAGGTGCCGATGTTGATTGTTAGGTCAAGAGTGGGACAATCTTTTCCCGGAAGGAAGAGCAGCTCAGTCTTGTCAAGGTTGAGCTTGAGGTGATGAGCAGACATCCACTGAGAGATGTCAGCTAGACAAGCAGAGATGCGTGCGACGACCTGGGTCTCTGAGCGGGGAAAGGACAGAATTAATTGGGTGTCGTCAGCGTAGCAGTGGTAAGAAAAACCATGCGGGCTAATGACTGATCCGAGCGAGTTTGTGTACAGGGAGAAGAGTAGGGGACCAAGAACAGAGCCCTGAGGGACCCCTGTAGTTAATTGACAAGGGTCGGACTCAGACCCTCTCCAAGTCACCCTGTAGGTACGGTCTTTCAGATATGAGGTGAGGAGGGAAAGTGCAGAGCCTGAAACTCCAAGTTTTTGGAGAGTGCGAAGGAGGATCTGATGATTCACCGTGTCAAATGCAGCAGACAGGTCCAACAGGATGATGACAGAGGAGAGGGATGCAGTTTTGGAAGTGTGCAGTTCCTCCGTGACAGCAATGAGAGCAGTTTCTGTGGAGTGACCTGCCTTGAAACCAGACTGGTGCGGATCCAGAAGGTTGTTCTCATGGAGATAACAGGAGAGTTGTTTAAAGACAGCGCGTTCAAGTGATTTAGACAGGAACGGGAGGAGAGAGACAGGCCTGTAGTTTATAACATCAGACGGGTTGAGAGTAGGTTTCTTTAGGAGAGGGGTTTACTCTTGCCTCCTTGAGACTGTTTGGAAAGTGACCAGAAGTTAGAGAAGTGTTGATGAAATGGGTGAGAAACGGTAGAATATCAGGAGCGATAGTCTGAAGGAGGTTTGAAGGGATAGGGTCCAGAGGACAGGTGGTAGGGCGGGCAGAGGTAATGAGGGTAAGAACCTCACTTGGAGAGAGAGGGGAAAAGGAGGTTAGTGTGTTGGTGGAAGGAGGGTCTGGTGACCCAGCGGTGAGTAAAGGTGAGTCAGAAAAAGAAGAGCGAATATCATCAACCTTTTTTTCAAAGTGGGTAACAAAGTCGCTTGACAGAAGTGAGGAGGGGGGAGGGGCTTTTGGAGGGTCCAAGAGGGTGGAGAAGATGGAAAATAGTTTTTTAGGATTGGAATAGGAAGATTGGATCTTATCTTGAAAGAAAGTGCTTTTTGCCTGAGAGATCGAAGCAGAGAAAGAGGAGAGGAGAGCCTGATAGGTTAGGAGGTCGTCACGGTGTTTGGATTTCCACCGTTTCCGCTCTGCTGCCCTAAGGACGGTTCTATTAGCACGCAGTGCATCATTTAGCCAGGGAGCAGGAGGGGACTGACGAGGCTGCCGAGATGTGAGAGGACAGAGAGAGTCCAGAGTGGATGAGAGAGTAGAGAGGAGAGTTTCTGCAGCAGAGTTTGGAGGCAGGAGTTGGAACGAGTCAGAGGAAGGGAGGGCTGAGAGCACCGATGAGGCAAAGGTAGAGGGGGAGAGGGAGCGAAGGTTACGGCGGACAAGTGCAGGATGAGAAGAGATTAGTTTGTTATGTTTGGAAAGGGGTAGAGAGAATGAAATGAAGAAGTGATCGGATGTGTGGAGCGGGTTTAGAGAGAGGTTAGAAGTAGCGCAGTTCCTTGAGAATATGAGATCAAGGACATTGCCAGCTTTATGAGTCGATGGGGACGGAGACAGTGAGAAAGCAAAGGCGGTTAACAGAGATGTTAGTTCGTTTATCTTCCCTGTCTGGAGGTTGAAGTCTCCGAGAAGTACAGCGGGAGGGCCAGTTTCAGGGATGTGTGAGAGTAGATTATCTAATTCCTCCAAGAAGTCCCCCAAGGCGCCTGGTGGACGGTAGAGAACAACAATGGTTAACTGTATAGGATGGGTTACTGTGACGGCATGGAATTCAAAGGTGGAAGGAGTGAAGTTAGGTAGCTTGAAGAGGGAAAAGCTCCATTTGGGAGAGAGCAGGAGACCAGTGCCACCTCCTCTGCCAGTTGGTCTGGGTGTATGGGAGAAGGAATATGCAGTGGAGAGAGCTGCTGGGGTGGATGTGTTGGATGGAGTAATCCAGGTCTCAGTGAGAGCAAGGAAATCCAGAGACTGCAGGGAGGCGTAGCCAGAGATAAAGTCAGCCTTAGGAACAGCTGACTGGCAATTCCACAGGCCACCAGAAACTAGATGTTGGATCTCAGTGGAGCATGTGGAATAGACGAGAGCAGGCCGGTTATATCGATTACGAGATACACGGGGCCAGTGATAATTGCGAGAAGACACATGAACAGGAATGGAGAAAATACACATGATTATAGCATGAGGGGCTAAACAACCAAATAAAATAAAACACCAGCGATACTTAGCTCAATCAAAGTAGGATTTGCCTCCTCTTTGCCTCCCTCGTGACTCCCACAGGACTCTAATGTCTTTGCCAGTCTCAGTCAAATGAGCAGAATCCGTAAATGTCCAATGATTTACTATCAAATAAATATTAATTTATGTTGGAGATTCTGGGGATTGAACTCAGGACCTCGTACATGCGAAGCACACGCTCTACCACTGAGCTACATCCCCCTTCCTTATCATTGTTTTCTAGTGATATATTTTCCATTGCACACATGCATATAACCACTCCACAGAGTATGTATATTGCAATGCTTTGACACTTCTAATGCCCCTACAAAAATGCTTACGACCACAGACCTGTCAAATTCATATTTTTTAATTGTATTTCATTATCACTCTCCATCAGCTGTCTCCAGAGCCCAGCTCATTTTCTACATTTCTACCTAAGTAAATTGAAGCTCAGTGCAGTACTCAATTACATCACCATGTGGTGCTGTAGCATTGTGTTTGTAGAAACCTGGATCATTCACATCTGAAAGCAATGAATGTTAATTCATGTAAAAATCACAGGATCTATAGAGACTATGGCAATGCAAATGTTTGTATTGTGTATGTTTTGCTTTAATAACGTGCTGTTCACTCATTAAATCCTTTACGTCTCATCAACATTATGACATATGAAAAAACTCCATCAAGAAATAACCATTGATGTGCTTTATTTGTCAGTCTGGGGAGGATGCTGCAGTATCACAAAATTACACACTATGATCAAAGATTTAACAAGGGATTTAAAATAAAAATGTATTGCAGAATAAAAGTAGAAAACAACTCCTATTTTGCTGCTGACTAATTGATTTGTTTATTTGTTTATAACCTGTTGGTTGTGGGGTTAGAATGTGACACAGTGATCACATATGAAATGAATTAACTTTGAATGATTCCTTAATCTGCTGTGGCTGAGGTGGGTGAGCAGTCGTCCAACAAGTTGAAGGCCAGTGGGTTGGTATGTCTTGAACATAATTTCAACAGTTGAACCTCTTTACATCCTGTTGATGATGTCAGTTCTTGATAAACAATCAAGGAAACATGCAGTGCAGTTAGCCAACACAGTGAGCAGCCTTGAGTCTAATTCTGTAGACATTCTTCAGTTTTATTGGAGTTGCTGGGGATTGGACCTTAAACATGCGATGCACACACTCTACCACTGAGCTACATCCCCATACCTTACGAACAATGTATAGCCATATGTTTTACATCATACACCTCAGTAGCCTATGTCTATTGCAATGCTTTGTCACATATAATGCCCCTGCAAAAAGCCTAAGACCACAGACCTGTCAAATTAATATGTACTCTTTTAAATTGTATTTCATTATCACTCTTCATCAGCTATCTCAAGAGCCCAGCTCATTCTCAAAATGTCTACCAAAGTAAATTGAGGCTCAGTGCAGTACTCAATTACATCACCAGGCTGTGCTGTTGCATTTTGAATATACAAGAATTGACCATTCATATTTGATATGTGATCTGCGGAGCATGAGCAATGAATGTTATTCAATTAGTCACTTCATTTATAATGAATTTGTGATTAGATAAATGATTTGACACTGCTGGGGTACATGCTAACGGTTAACATTTAGATGGATAGGAACATTTCCCTTTTTCATGTTAAAGCAACAGCCCTCAATCTTTCCGTGGCAAATAAAGATCCTTCTGAAAAAGAGCAGGCAATGTTAAGCATAACAATATTATCAATAACATTTAGGATTGTAGAACTTGCCTTGTTCACTTAATGGCAGGATCACAATGTTGCCTGTGTGTCATTGCTAATGAATATAAAGTCATGTGTCCTGCCTATGAATGAAGTATTGTCACTGGCCTGCCACAAAGTTAAGGTGGTAGGTGAAAGTAAAAACGATAGAACTTGGTCTGGATCATTTATTATTTAACAATAAATATCATGCATAAATTGACAAAACAATCTGAAGTCAAGGTCTACATACTCTGAGCTTTTTCCAAGGTCAATAATTTACAATGAAGCCCCACATGCACAACGGTTCACCTCAGAACACAAACCACAGGGATCGATGAATTACAAACTGTATCGATTTTATTCAAACTGTACACGTACAACAGGCTTATCTCATTAAAAAAAGTAAAAAAAGACAAAAATGAGTATCCCGATAAATACAATATGCGTTTACAAAACAGAGACTGTGTTTACTTGGAAGGTTGCATATGATCCATTAAAAAACCCACACACACACACTCATATTCCTTCTGAAAACTTAGTACATGACATACACTGCGTTGACAGATTGCACTGTCTGAAGGCAACTACAGATTATTTCTGCCTTGTTATGTTCAAGCACAGACAAGATAATAACTTGTGTAATGTTGTGACCTGTTTACAACAAAATAATACATACTAATATTTGAGCCATGGTTTGAGGTATGTAGTACATTCACATACAGTTGAATATGAATGTTTGTATTTAGTGTATGTTATAGTATGTGTTGATTCAGCATACAGCTTTAGGGATCAAAAATAACTAGAATGCCAGGTATACACTTTCAGCGGTTTCTAGGTTGACCCTCATTGCTGCATGGTGTTGCCATTCCACATTTACATGTGAAGAATGTAAAGAAGCTCTGCTGTATGACAGGAAACAAGCCTTCTAACAAACATGCTGCATTGCAGCTAACTCAGTCCGACATGACTTTCTGCTCAGGTTTTCCCACAAAATCTCATGCTGAGTTTATGATTATATCAAAGAAATTAAAAGTGGATTGCTTCAGAAAATAAAGAATTGTGAAGACATTTCTTTTTAGGCTGTTATTTTTGTGAAAGGGGCATTTAGTATAAGACTATTATCATAAACAGGTCACTAGGCAATGTTGGTGTCCAATGTTATTGTAATAAATTGCTGTATTGTCCCCAGATAAAACGCTCCACCTTAGCTGAAAACTACGCAATATATCCTCGCTTCTCTTTCTCTAAATAACACATATTCCCACAAGATAATGGCCTTTGACCTCCTTCCTGGTGTTTATGTCCATGATTTAGAACATCCACAAATATTTCAAATGCAGTTCTCGCTGTGTTTTGATGCCTTAACACTATAATAATTATTTATTAAAAAACTAAAAACGTTTCAGTTTGCTTGTGAAAACAAGACTTCAAGTGAAATTATAAGAGATTACTAGGTAGAATACTGGCGTGAGTGTGTACAGTCATCTTTATCCAGGATAAAATAACATCATAAATCCTGAGCAACCATTTCCACTTGGATTAAATCTGGATCCTTGAAATGGTGCTTTGGATGTCTTAAAAGCTTAAAAAGGTCTTTTAGATGGGGGGGATCCAACAGTTGAGAGACCACACACAGAGAGAAACAATGAGCTGTTGTGTTTCTTCATTGCAGAGTGGAGGCTGGTGTGTGTGTGTGTGTGTGTGTGTGTGTGTGTGTGTGTGTGTGTGTGTGTGTGTGTGTGTGTGTGTGTGTGTGTGTGTGGTGGTCTAACGGTTTGATTCAGGTCATCCTGTGTTGAATCAATCATTTAAAAAACTTTTAACCTTAAGGATAGCTGTGCAAACCAATACATAACTTCATCCACCGTCGGAGTGAACATTCAATATAGTAGCAAATACTCAACAGTATGGAAACATTTTAAAAATATCGACAAATGAAATAAAAGTCTTTGATTTCTGGGCAGCCACATAATGGCGTGGTGGAGTCACAAGTTGATGGACATATTCTCATATTTTAACAGGCTAGATTGTACTCTGCAATATCCAACACAAGTATCAAAGCGTTTCAGTCTTTAGCTAAAAGCAGAGTAATTTAAAACGTAGATGTATAATTAATCCAGGCATACCTAATCAATGAATTCACAGTCAGAGGGCGTGGTTGCTGTAGGGATCAAACCTTTGACCTTTCCACTGCAGCACGGACAGGAGGCCATACTGTTCGAGCCATCAGTCTTTGCTGTTATGGTGTTTTCCACTGAGAGACTTTCACCATGGCAGACAGGACATACATTCAAATTGTAATATTAAGGATATAATCAATAATATGTATGGAGTTTCATATGAAAAGTAACCTCATCAGTCTGGCATTACAGTCCCAGGACCAGTATGGCCATTCACACCAGTTCATAATCCAGAGATACTGTGGGCTGTCAGGTAATGAGAAAAAAAAGAAAAGAAAAAAGTTCATCCAACTTCTATCGAATATAGATTAAAGTTTGATGGTGTGTCCAAAAGCCTGAACTGCTGTCACAACCCGAAAACACATTTTTAAAATAGTCCAAAAAAAGTATTAAAAATGAAAGCTATTTGACCTCATTTACATGGTTGTTATTTCCAAAACCCCGGGGCTTTGTGCCTTCTCTTACTCGTAACTTCACACCGTTGTCTCGCCATGGTTACCGTTGCTAAGGCGCTTGTAGAACCTCCTCCATGATTGGAGCGTCTTCCCAGACCAGACCCAGAAACCCGAAGTGATCCCGACTATCATGGTCATCAGGTACTTGATCATGAACACGGTGAAATCTGGGGTCATGGGGGCGAAGTTGTGAACCGGGCACTGCACGGCGAACCGCTTACAGGTCTGCATGTGCCAGGTCCGCTGCCAGTGCTCCCTGAAGGCCTGCTCGTAGAAGTAACAGGCGATCACTATGGTGGCCGGTACTGTGTAGAGCACGCTGAACACACCGATACGAACCATCAGCTTCTCCAGCTTCTCCGTCTTGGTGCCGTCGTGCTTCATGATGGTGCGGATCCGAAAGAGGGACACGAAGCCGGCCAGGAGGAAGGACGTGCCGATGAAAAGGTAGACAAACAGCGGGGCCAGGACGAAGCCGCGGAGGGCGTCCACGTTGAAGATCCCGACGAAACACACCCCTGTCAGAACGTCGCCATCCACCTGGCCCATGGCGAGGATGGTGATGGTTTTAATGGCAGGGACAGCCCAGGCAGCCAGGTGGAAATATTGCGAGTTGGCTTCAATTGCCTCATGGCCCCATTTCATCCCGGCAGAGAGGAACCAAGTCAGGGACAAAATCACCCACCAGATGGAGCTGGCCATACCAAAAAAGTACAAGACCATGAAGAGGATGGTGCAGCCCTCCTTTTTGGTCCCCTGAGCCACTGTCCTGTAGCCGTCATCCTTGAATTTATCCACACAAACAACTTTATCCTCCAGGAAGAATCCAGCAGCGTAGGCTACCGCCACCATGAAATAACAGCCAGATAAGAAGATGATGGGCCTCTCCGGGTATCTGAACCGCCTCATGTCCACTAAATATGTGAGCACAGTGAATAAGGTGCTCACACAGCACAGGATAGACCAGATTCCCACCCACAGCCGGCCGAACTTCACTTCATCCTCACGGAAATACATGATGCCGGTCGGTTTAGTGGGCTCACACGGCGCCCCGCAGTCGTTGACCCCCATAAATTTGTAGCCCAAGTAGGTTGGCACCTCCAGCTGCAGAGGGCAGGAGAACTGGTACGGGTTGTGCTGGGGCGGTCGTAAATTGGGGCGCCCCATGTTGGGGGGAAGGGTCGCCAGATCGCGGTCAAAGGGGGGAGACGAGGCCGGGCTGCTGGGCTCGGATGTGTTCTGGCCCACGCAGATCTCACCGGCTCCGTGGACCGGGAAAGCCTCGCAGCGGAGCCGCTCCGGCCACTGGAAACCGAATTTATTCATGAGGGCTTCACATCCCTGCCGCGCACGCTCACACAGGGACCGACACGGGGGGATGGCCTGCTCCAGCACCGTGCAGACTGGTGCATACATGGAGCAGAGGAAGAACTTCAGGTCTGCGGAACACTGGACCTTCACCAGGGGGTAGAACTGGTGCACTTCTAGGCCGGCGTCCTCCTGGTTCGTGTGGCCCAGCAGGTTCGGCATGATGGTCTGGTTGTAGGCGATGTCGGTACAAAGCGGGATGGAGATGGGCTGGCAGAACCCGTGTTCTGGGATAGATATCCCGCTCTCACTGTTGTAATGTTGGGCAGAAGTGGATGTGAAGCACAGCCCGCAAAGCAGCCACATGATCCGCAGCAACACGGAGCCAGTGGTGGACCTGGCCGCCGCCATAGTTGAGGAGGAGGGGGGAGGGAAGGAAGGAAAAAACTTTGATCCAAGTAGGGCGACTTGAAAACGTTTGAAAAGCGTGGAAAAACTACATAAATTGTCACAGCACTTATCTTTTAGTCCGAGTACTTCGAGTTGAAATGTCCGTAATCGTCTTTTCCTTGTGATTTATGAAGATTAATCCAAGTGAAACGTTCGTCGTGTCATGACTTCTTGATGGTCTTTGTAAGTGACTCCAAGCAGCCCACTCTCACTCCCGTCCCGGGGAAAATAACACTTAAAGTCCCATTTTCTTGAAGTAATGCAACCCCAAGTTATTCCAGTAAGTCTACACAAAAGCGTCGCTAGTCTACCGCAAAACAATACACGGATAAAACTCAAAAAAGCTCATATTTCCATCGTTTTCTGACTTGACTTCACACTGTGCGGCGGTTCACATGCTGAGCAGTTGGGAGTCCAGAGGCTCGCTCTCCTCACTCCGTGCAGATTCCACCGGTTTCCAGGCGCCCCCTCCATTCACAAGACCCCCCCGACAGAACGCGGGCGCCTTGAAACCGATGCGGCGTCTCAGCCAATCCTAGCATTTGTTTTCCTACAGGACTCGTTCTTGATTGGCCTTCACTCGCTATAGAAGGAAAATGTGTTACAGTACTTACATTACACCAGAATTTAACATAAAATGCATGTATTTTCCGGTAAGGGTTTCAAAAAGTCTTCTTAAATCGTATAGATAATTTATAACATTGAATAAACCGCTTTTGTTCTGTTTATGGGAAAGCAGCAGTATAACATCACAATTTCTTTGTCAATTGTCAAATACGTTTTTAGTACTCCATACTTTTACTTTTACTGAGTGCTATATGCTGGTGCATTCATCAAAAACTATTTGGAATGCTATGTTAATTTATTTAAATGAAAAATATACTACCAATGTAGAATCACCTTAAAGAGAAATGTACTATTACTTTGGTTGAGTTGACACAAATCCAATACTTTTTTGTAGGAAACACTGGACATGTGTGCTTAAACGCTGTCCCATAATTGTTTAGCAATTCAAAATAAATTATGTAATGGGGTTAAAAGCAATGGCAGATACGTCTGATCATAGGCATACAAACAAGTCAGATCTTTGCAGAACAACTATTCAGTTTGTAATGCCTGTACAAAAGATGCATGTTGGAGCAGCAGGATAATGTACATTATTCCATAACTTGATTTGTCTTTCCTATTCATCATGCTTTATCTCCTACATAAGCAATCCCACCCTGTAGCACATGAGCAATTCTCTATGCATTACAGAAAGTTTACATCTGTTTAAGTTTACACCTTTTTTCCCATCTACAGTACACTGTTAGAGTGCAGCTGTGAAGTTGAGCTCTCTCAATTTCTTCACACAGTCACTCACTGTGCGCAGGACATGTAAACACATTGCAGCGCAGTGAGCAAACCATGAAAAAAAACTAAATGGATTCCAGCATCTTAACCACCCTACCACAGCAAGCACCGCAAGTACCTGTTTCTGTTTACTGCTTAAAGGGTTACATTGCAAACAATCAGATGCGGCTCCTGAGCTGATCTGTATCTTTGGAGGAGTTAACAGCAACAACAGTCCCAGCAGTAAATTGGATTGACAGCATGATTGATCTGCCCACAGGCAACCAAGTGTGAGAGGTGGTAGGAGTTTCCTGGTGGCCTTTCTGCATTTGGTGTGTTTCTACCCTGAGTGGGATAAAAGAGGGTGGGGGTAGGTTGGAGTGGGGGAAGGGACAGGAAGAAGAGAGAAGGTCGAAGAGGGCAGGGGGAGAAAGAGAAGGAGAGAGCAGGAAGACAAGCTGAACCAAAAGGAAACTTCAGTAGAGTTCCCCACTGTAAACTGGCCTATACAAAATAAGACAAGTTAGATTGAAATAGGCTAGTAGGCTAATTTATTGAGATATTTAGTGCAGAGTGATATTTACTTAAAAACTGAGGCGAAAACAAAATTCCTAATCTTAAAGAATATAAGTGCTGCATGTTGATCATAATGCAACTACAAGATTGGAAACATGCATGGAGTTTGAAAGACGGTTCTCCGAACAGAGACCACTTTGTCTCATTCAGCAACTACACTTTCATGAAGATTTTATTCCCAACATTTAAAAACTAAAAGACTAAACTTGCAGGCGGGGCAGCCAAACCATGTGCTAAAACTTAAAGGGGACCTATCATGCAAAATGCACTTTTGTACGTCTTTTATACATGAATATGTGTCCCCGGTGTGTCAGGGAACTCACAAAGTGTCAGAAAACACAACCCTCTCTCTGTTCCTCCATACCCAAATCTCTAAAAATGGGGCTGCAACGGATCTGATACAGATTTGAAATTGTTCTGACGTCAGAAACGGGGTGCTCCGCCTATATGGGCAATTCTCCACCTATCAGGGGAATGAGAGGTTGCGTGGCATGGTAACGGCATGGTAACAGCATGGTAACAGCATGGTAACATGACGCTCGTGCCTCGCCCCCCTCCTTTGCAGGGGGGCGTGATCAGCTGCAGCTCATTTGCCACAGAATCAGCCCTTGTGAAGACAGGGCTGGAATAGAGCAAATAGAGCAAAATGAGAGATGGCTAAAATGCATGATCTGTTTTGTATTTTTTTTTTTTTTATTCACAGATATGTTTTATATAGGTATGGCCCTACAATATATTATTCAAATATAGCATGATAGGTCCACTTTAAAATAAAGCTCCGTAAAGCAGGGTAGAGCTGCAGATTCAGTTGATAATTCTCTGTCGGCTCATAGCTGTGGGTGATCTCTTTCCATGTACACATCATTGTCACATTTTATTTGATTAATTTGTTTTATTTAAAAAAAATGGGGTGCTTTAATTTCCTTCAAAACCATAATCAATATTTTATGTTCTTTACTGCATTTGCCTGAATGTCATTTACTCACCAAACCTTGTGTGGATACATTCGTTCAATAATCTTCTCAACCCTTTTTAACTTCTCATAATTTCTTTTTATATTCTTTACATAATAATTTTAAAGGAAATGCTTTATTGTTATGTATTCACTGATACCGGACAAAACAACCTAAAGAAGTTAAAAAAATTGTTGACAGTAACAGGATTTTTTTTCCTGAATGGTTTTGTCGATCAGTCATAATCTTATTGGCAGCTCTGTCAGTTCTAACTAACCAAACTGTGTTTCTGCTATGAACACTGACCTCAATCTCATCAGAACCAGCAATAACCTCATTACTGAAAAGCTGATTGTATTGATTAGCAACGAGGCTGGTCCACCGGAAATCATATTCAATGATGCTGTCTCACTTTGGGTCAAATCTGTGACCACTCTGAATGACAGAGATTATAGCTGTTAGCCTCATAGCTCAATTATCAATCTGAGAGATGAGTTGTATTTACGGGCCACTGCTTCTGATAAGAGGATTGGTTTCACTGGTTGTCCCAAGCCTCAGTATCAGAGCTTATGTGCAGCTATGTGGTAATTAAAGACCTCAGCTATTAAAGCTATTGATTAATAATGTTGTTAGCACAATGATTTCCCAGGAGGGTATTGGACAAATCACCATCTGAGTGTCACAGCCCTCAGAACAAGTGATGATACACACTCAGATGAATGGAAGAAAGGCTTAACATATAGATCTGTGTATGGGTGGACGGATAGTTTTTTGGGGGGTTCCAGGCAGTGGCGTAACTATCGACGGTGCAGCTGGCCCAGAGCCAGCCAGGGGCCCATGCAAAACAAAATGGCATTGACCAGTTCACGCAGTCTTCAAAGTAACCAAGCAACCTAAATTCATTTGTAATTTGTCTGTCCAATGACCTTGCTCCCTTTCATGTGATACCTTGCGTGACGAGCGAACCGTTTAATCAACCTGTACTGTACTGTAGCTAGCAGCAGCAAGTTCGGCAGCATTATAAAAAATGTAATAGCTTGCATTTATAATGTACAGAAAACCAAAGCACAAAAGCGGCAGGGGGGGGGGGGTCCCCAAAACAATATTTGCACCGGGGCCAATCACAACCTGGTTACACCACTGGTTCCAGGGCTTTTATAAATGAAAAGCCTCATATAAAGAAATGCAAAATATTTAACTCTTGTAACACTGCTTGAAAATGTTCCCTAACATCTTTTTAATTTATGTATTGCATATACGGACATGATTCAAAGCATATAATTGCATGTTTTTATACATGCTGAACCTGATTCCTATACCTAACCATTGCTTTTGTCTCGTGTAGCCATGATGAATCAGGTACATTCCTAATGACATAGAGCAGGGGGTCCAAACTTTTTCCACTGAGGGCCACATACAGAAAAACATACGAAGGACTGGGCCACTCACTAGAGGTGAGCTATCTTGCCTAATAATTTGAGTTATAAGTTAGCAAAATCAATCAAATGTAGGTACACTCTGCTTGATATTTGAATATGCTTTAAGAATAAAAACAGCCTACATCACTGCTTTCCATAGGGTTGGCCTCCGGCCCGCAGTTTGGACACCCCTGACATGGAGGAATAAAAACAGTTTCTAATAGATAATACTTCAGTGTCGGTAAGTATTTAAGAAAATGTAATTAATATTATGATAGTCATGGCATCAAAGAAGGACTAACTAATGTGGAACACTATTAACGACAATATTTAAACCTTAAACCTGCAAACTATACTTAATTAATAAGGATTTTTTCAAAAATCTCTATATAATTATATCACAATATGGCAAATGTATGCAAAATTGAATGATCATTTGGGATTTTCATTGATATTATTTATGTTTTAGATTCATGAAAAAATCCTAAAAGTTTAGCTGTGAAAACTATTTAATAATTGATTTCAATTAGGAGCTTAAGGTATTTAGTTGAGGAATGCTGGCCATGAGTCGGTGGACAATATTTGTTGGATAATTGATGACATTATGAGATGGCAATTAATTGCTACAGTATACACATGTAAACACATTGAATATCTTTAATAAAACGTTATTAATACAGGCAAGTCATGGGGGTTTAATTGGGCTTGAGATTACTTTGATCTGTCACACACACACACACACACACACACATACACACACACACACACACACACATACACGCACTCTCACACTTGTTTCTCCACATGGTGTAAAGCACAGCAGTTAGCAGCCACACCAGGTCAAATGGACGCACTTCATCGTGTTAACTGTAGCCGTTTGTTTGTGTGTGTGTTTTTGTAGATGTCTGCAGTGGTCAAGCAGATGTGGGCAGTCCAGCAGCTTTTCAGACAGTCAGTACCTGTTTGGGCTGCGGTCTGCTGCAGCTGGACATCTGCTGGAAGTGTTACACAAACAACAACTAGATTTACTGTAGACCAAGGTGAAATAAACAAAACAAAAAAGATTTTGATGGTTTTGACTGCGCTTGCTCAGTTCATGCTTAGCCAGAAGCGTGACCGCCATGCAAAGTATGTGAGCTACCGTGTGAAACCCAATCCTGAACAACTATTTAGATCTGGAGTCAGGGTGG